CCTGCTGCACTGCCCCCCCCCCGCCCCCCCCCAGGAGGGCCCTGCCAGGCCTTGTCTGCACGTGTGGCTGCGGAGGATTTGGATTTACCAGCTCCTGTTTGCTAAGGAAATAGCGACAGAGTCCTGTGATGCTCTGCAACCTGAACCGTGGTTTCCTTCCATTATCTTCTGGCGAGGTGCTGATAAAGCTGCTGCGTGCTGGGGAAGGGGGGGCTCACAGGGGAGCACCCCTCTGCCGCAGTGGTGAGACGGAAGAGGCAGGCGAGGGGGTCCTGCAGCCCCTCCACGCAGTGTGACAGCACCTGATTTCGAGCAGCTATCGCTACACAGAAATCCCACATCCTCGCCGATTTTGATGCTCACATGAGCTGTTCTGCCTCTCCAGCCTCTCCCTTCCTAGGGAGCTCATTTTAAGATTTGCTCTACATACTTTCTTTGCTACTTGTCAGGGACAAATTTGTTGGGTCGTACCCTACCTCTAAGCAGAACCCCAGATCCAAATGCCCCCAACAAACACTTACTCAACCATAATTTAAATAAAACTCATTTCAAAAGGCATAATGCCAAAAGGTCCCTCTGCCACTCTTAATCTCAGCAGAACTGCAGAGCACGTGTGCCTGGAGATAGGGCTGACGTTGGCCCTGCAGCTACGCTCCGCTAAACACTATTCCTGATAAGAATCCTTCAGCCGACCCTACAAATCTTTCTGGCTTTTACCAACCCCAGGAACTCTGGGACATTTTGATTGTGCTGCTGTTGTTCTTCCCGCTAACAGGACGAAGATTGGATCATGTCACTAGCAAGACGTCCTTGGCATCAGATGCCTCCACAGCGCAGGGATTCAGTGAACATTCCGGCGCTGGTTTGGCCCGGGCGCGGCTCCTCCTTCGCCCCGAGCCAGGCGCAGTGCGGCCGGTTGCTCGCGCCCCCACGCTGCATTCGGGTCTCACCTTCTTAATCTCCGGAGCTGGGCAGACGTCTGAGGTCTGGGGGGGCTCGCCCTGCAGCCTGCAGCTGGAGCTGCTCTCACTCCAGACGCAGCGGTGCCCCAGGTCCTCCCGCCCCAGGCACTGGGAACAGTCGGCGCTCCCGGTCGCACAGTTGTACACCTCCACTAAAGCACCAGAGAGAACAGAAAAAGTGATGAGTTCCTGGGCCTGAGACTTTCACAGCTTTGCTTCCCTTGGGGCAGTCAAACACCCCCCCACCTCCCGGCTCTGTTAATCCAAGGAACAGCTGAAATCCAGCGGCTGAGCAGAGCAGCTTGCACATACAGCAAGATGAGGCAGCGCTTGGCTGCCATCCTGAAGATTTCCCAGAAGGACTGGGTGCTTGTTCTCACTGCAATATAATTTAGCACTTTCTTTTCCTTTTTCTTCCCCTTGAAAAACAAACAACACCCAAACTCGGAACCTTTTGTCAATTTACACTACATGTTTCCAACTCTCAGCATCCACATGGGAAGCTGCTTGGCAAAGCTGGCTCCATCCTGTTAGCAATCACATTGCTTCCACACTGACAAAAATGGGATGGTTACAGTGCTTTGTACAGTGTTTACAGTTCCCTTCCTTTCCCCTGGTGACCACGGGCCCCTTTCATTGACTTCTCCCTTCAGATCTGCTCAGCTTCCACACCGTTTTCCTACACTGCTTTCACCTCTTCATAAGCTGGTGCCCTAGGTTACGCTTCCTCTCCAGCCTAAAGACTTCTGCTGCTGGAGTGTGGGTATCCGCTGAGATAAACAGCCAGAAACACTCAGGAAACGTTGCTTTCACACCCTTTTCCCCAGAGGAGACTTGCAGGAGAACATAAAACAAAGAAACAGTCACATTTTGCACTTCTGTTCACAGAAGAATCTCAAGGCACTTCATAAGCAACTAACGAATCCCTCGGCCTTCAACGGTCTGCCTGTGCTCGTGCTAATTAAACGTCATCAGCACCGACGGAGTCTCATTCTCCACAAAAAAATGAGCTTATTTCACCTCATCCTGCATCCACCCAGTGGGCTACACTGGTTGGTTTTCCACCCAACAGCAAAGAGCTGGGAGGCCTTCAGTGGACTACCAAAGCGCAGTTTACAATAAAAGCTAATAAATATTGAAATCATAAACACTATTAACAGTAATTCCATTAAGGACAGTATGAACAATGCACACATTGATAATTGGCCCAGCACATCTCTGTCTCTGCTTGCAAGTCAGCCTCTCTAATCTTACTCACACCAATCTGCTCAAGGCGAGGAGGAGCCAGAGCTGTCTGACGGTCCCACAGGATCTCCAAATATTCTGGCAAATTCAGATTGATGCAAACACAATCTGTGTAAGCGAGCACTCTCTCTGTGCAGGAGGAGGGGGAATTCCACCACGCTCTTTCCGCTGTCGTTCCTGCTCCCAGCAACACACACGCTGGGAACCAGGAGTCTCCTCTTGCACATCAGAACGGCCTTAGCTCAGATCTCCCACCCCTCTCCTTGGGGTTACCTCCCTGTCTCCAAAGTACACCCGCCTCTTTCTGCAGGGAAGTCGTGTCTCCTGCCTGCCCATGCTGGCATTTCAAAGGTTATTTCAACAACGTGGAATGCTTTGCAAGATAAGCCTCCTTTATACACTGGGATTTACTGTGGGAAAACCTTTTTATCCTGGGTCAGTGGCTGATGGTGTGAATGTCTCTCCACCTCCAAAGCCTCACTTCAGGCATCTAGTTCTCATCTGCATCCAGGGTCAGTCAGTCCCTTCTACTGTAAATCGGTCTGTTCTACCACCGCTGACACGACTGAGCGGGGAAAGAGCCCGGAGCTGCTGCCTCCAGCAGGAGCACAGAGCCTGGTCCTGGCAGGAGGGCGAGCGCTGGCTCCCTTGGGCTCGCCCTAGTCCTGGGCAGGCCTCATCCCAGCGCACTCCTAATCCGAGTTTGCCCGCCCTCCCTGGCCTGCTGATGCAGCGAGGGCTTTTTTGGGAATCCGAGCATTCCTCCCAGAGACAGAGAGCAGGCCAGGGGTGAAATGTGTTTACACATTTTATTCTTTCTCAGCAGAGGAGGAAAAAAAAGACTCAGTTTTTACAGCACGCTGAACCTGAATGCCACGGTCTCGTGGATGCTCATGGCAGAGCCCTCCCCTGGCCCTTATCTCCTCTGGCAGGAATTCCTCCCTGACCCTGGGGACACCCCACGTCTCTGCTAGGACCGAGAGCACCAGCACACCCCGTCCCACGTGCCCCGGGCAGACGAGACCTCAGCTGCTGCCTGTGCTCAAGGATGGGGCTCGACCTTCCTGGGGTGTAAAGGGAACGTCCGCGGGCGCCCACTGGTTTCTGGGCACAGATTCATGGGGGTGCAGATCTGGGCACATACATGTGCCTGAGAGAAAGAACTGAGCCGTGCCCAGCTGAGCCATGTTCTCTCTCCTGAACCTATAAACTTTGCCAGGATTTGAGAGTCATTCAAGCTGACCAGATGAGAGTAGAATAAAAATATTTTCAACTCAGACCTGTCATCATCTCAGGACTGTCGATAAATCTGTCTGGTCTGTCCTTCAGCTGAAGGTTCACTGGGAAGAGATCGTTTTTTTCTGATGTGTGGAGCTGCACACAAAAAACAAACAAAGAAAAGCTTAGGAAATTTAGTAAAACACAAGGTTCCATACGCACACTACAGGGATTAACATTCCTCACGAGGCTTCTCTGGCCACTGCTTCTCAGTACGGGAGGCTCCCATCGTTAGCAGGGAGGAAGAGAGGGAAGAAGGCTGTTTTCTATTGTCATTGTTTCGCTGAGGTCCCACCAGAGGGGACTGGGGCACGGCACGCAGCGAGAGCAGAGCCCTGGCTTGCTGCTGGTCTGACTAGAAGCGGACGGGTAAGCTACAGACTGGGCAGCCTGCACATTTTCAGCACTGGGCTGAGAAGAGTTTTGCAGGTGACACGATGGGAAAGTGCTCCTCTCCAGCTTCTACTCGCCACGTTCCCATCGGTGGAAGCTCCATGTGCTGCATTTCAGAGGTGCAGTTTGCCCTCCAACAACCACACACCACTCTTTGGTGAGCGTCTGAGCATTTCCTCAGGCCAATTCCTAGTTCAGAATAAAAGCTACAGAAACAGCAACACTGAAAGGTGGCCAAATTTTTTGCCTGAACTGAACTCTCCCCATTTAGAAAGGTAAACAAGCAGCTCCTTCCCAAAACCCTGCGGAGTCGGGTCTGGAACCCCCGCAGATACCCACGGAGCAGACAAGGCAGCATCAGCACATGCAAAGAGCCTCTTGCAGGAGAGGTGAACCCGCTTTGCGCGTTTTTCAGTTGGGGGCAAGACCCTCCCTGCCCTCGGACCTGCCCCACGCCGCGGGGAGCAGGGGCTGGCAGCCTTACCCCCCGACTCACCAGCACGTGTACGCACTCCACAGCGGAGGAGTTCACCCACCGGGCTTCAAACGTCCTGCCCGTCCCAAAATGGCACTCCAGGGCTGCCTCCTGAGAGGGAAGACAAGGGCAGAGTGGCTGCAACAACGGTTTGGGGCAGTTCTCCATCTCAGTCCACCAATACAGCAGGTACCGCGCTTCTGCCGTCGGTACCTGAGCTGCCTCCGAGTCAAACAGGAGCTGAGAACCCGACCCTGCAAAGAGGGCTGGGGTCTGTGCCCACCTAACCCCGCTCTGGCACACAGCCCTGCGCAGAGCTGCTGCGGGCTGAGCATCGCGCTGGAGCCCGGCCCTGCCCCGTGCTGCTGGGAAGCGCCAAGCCCAGGCGTGGGGCAGCCGCTCCGGGAGCCGGGGACACTCGCAGAGGGGACACGGGCCCGACCCCGGGCATGCACAGACCAGGAGAGGTGCGGGGACAGGCTCCGCTCAAACCCTGCCAGCAGGTGCCTGAGTCCCTCCGGACGGGGGTTAGAGCTCACGGGGAGATGCAGACCAAGAGCCAACGAGGTCCCAAGCCGCCTCGCCCAAACCAGCCCAAACCAGCCTGTGATTTGGGCTCAAAGCCACCTTTCTTCTCCTCCCAACAACTGCACAGACCGAATCTCTAATTCAAATGAGGACCCAGCCGGGAGGATGTTCAAAGGCAGATTTTTTGTGCTGTTTTCCTGATAACAGAAGGATGATACCCTGCCCCGAGTTACTGCTGTGCCTCCATCCTGCAGGAAAAAATCCTGTCTCCAAGCAGGTTGATGCTCCACCACTACTGAGGTCGAACTACCCTTTGAAAACTGACAGATCTGATAAAAGACATGAAAGAGAGCACCAGACTCCTGGCAGGCAGCTGCTGGCTCGGTGAACACACAGGCACCCAGGAGGGGGAAACTGGAATCTCCTCCAGTGCATCGCTCACGCCCAGGCAGCTCCCGGGCCCCTTGCCCCTTGCCCGCTGCCCGGGCAGCCCCCCAGCACCCAAGGTGTCGGGGTGTGTGTCAGGCAACGCTCGCGAGCTGCTGCAGAGAGGGAAAGGCACCCGGCCGCCGGGACAGCCTGCGGACTGTGGCGGGGGGAAGCCGGGCTGCCCTGGCGGTGCCTTGGCCCCTTTCCTGCTGACTTCATTTCCTATGGGGTGCCGTGCGGTATTGCTTCCTCGCCAGCCACCTCCAGCCCCCTCGCAGGAAGGATTTCTCGCCCTTTTTCGCTGATGGCGGAGGGCACATCCTCCTTTAGAGAGGCCGGGCCCGTGCAGGAAAGGCACCGGCTGGGGGACCCAGCTCCCCTCCGCCCCGCGCAGGAGGGCAGGGGGCGGCTGGAAGCGATGCCGGGCAGCTCCACCAGCATTTCCAACCTTCTCCTCTCCCCGCAGGAAGAGGAGCTGCCCGGGCCCAGCGCGCTGGCACCTCCGCAGGGGCACGGCAAAGCAGGTGCCACGGGCCCCGGGGAAGACTTGACCCAAGATGGCACAGGGTGGCTTTCTACAAATACCAGAGCTTAGGCAATTATTTTCCCAGTGCCCAGCCTCCCTGCCCCAAATTCCTCTGGTTCTTCCTGGTGTTCAACACATCTCCAAAGGCACCATTTGATGTCCACTTCTGTTTTTCACCCTATTACTATTTGCATGACAGAGAATTTCACAGAAAGGATTTTTTTTTTTTCCACAAGAAGAAAAGAGCTCTGCAGGGAAGTTAAGCTAAAACACATTTCCATGCAGTGGCTTAGCCAGCGCAGAGTGCTCTGCCCGCAGCTCGGGGCTCTGTCCTCCGCTCCTGAGCGCGGGCGGTGGGGCCTGGCTGGCACCTACGCGGCACCGGGAGGGCACGACACCGGCACGCTCCGCGGTGGAGCAAACACCCGCAAGGAAACACAAAGATTTCGTTCCAGGGACTGTTTTACAAGGTGTATAAACCTCCTTATTTCAACTGAACGCCAAAAGCGTGTCACTAACTGCGGGCGATCCCTGGAGAATGCCTGGACAAGAACAGCATCTCCCTTGGGCTTTGCCACGCAGCCTCACCCGCCATCGGGGTGCTGCTTCCCACCGTCGCCTTTCGCTAACACAGCAACTTCAGCTGCCAACACAAACTGGGACCGGCCCCACCACCCGCTCCCAAGGCAGAAACCAGCTTGTACCTAAAATCCCTTCAGCTGACCTGGCCACCTTGCTGCACACCAGTCTAGGCTCATGGGAGCCTTCCTGACCTCTCCGGAAACTCATTTACCTGCGAGAAAGTCGCATTAGCCAGTGAGATCGTAATGTCCCGAGGCACTCCTGTGGGCATCGGGTCCAAAGAGGCAGGGACAATTCGTGGACAGTCAATTTTCTCCTGTTAGGTGCAAAACAAGGGAAAAAAAAGGAGAGGTTAGCTGGGTGCGTGCTGAGCATCGTCTGTGATGACGTAAGAAGACACAAACTGGTAAGATTAATTCCACTACATCTGTAGAGTCAGATCAACACTGCAACCCCAGAAAGTGAAACACCACAATGGCCCCGTGATACACGCAGCAGCAACGCCCTGCGGAGCCCTGCTCCCCGAGGAAGGCTTCCAGCCCAGCCCACCATGGCACTGCCTTAAAATCCCCCCTCGGCCAGCCGCTGGCAGCCGGGTTTCCAAGAGGGCTCAGCAAAGGGGGGAACACAGTGGGAAGCCCCCTCGCTCCTGCTGGGCTCCCCTGCCAGCTCCCGGCCCTGGGTGGGGGGGCTGCCAAGCCTGAGCTTCCACCTTCCTGCAACAGAGAAAACCTACTCCCGGGTAAAAAGCCACCGCGTACGCTCTCCTCAGCCGCCACTCTGGGCAGCTCCCCCATTACATGCACTTAAACGTTGGCAGCCGGGGCCAGAGTGACACTAAAAGGAGGCGCAGCAGCCTACAGTGGCGGGGCTGCCGGCGTGACCCCACTCCTGCCAGCTGGAAGCCGATGTCTCCGCAGCACAATGCACATTTCTGCAAGCCCCTGCAGAGATGCCGCTTGCCGGCGGGCTCCCTCCTGCACGGTGTCAGTGCAGAAGCGTGCGGGGGTTTGTGTGTGCACGCGTGTGCGCGCAGAGGAAAGGGGATAATGAGCTGCAGGGGCTTCAGCGAGGGGACTGCAGCAGTAGGACTGCTGAAATGAAAGGCCTAAATGAAGCTGAAAAATGATTTTAAAAGGTCATCTGTCCCTCTACTTTTGTTCTCACTTTAAATTGATGGCTCAGATACTGGAGCTGACTCAGAATTCAAGTCTGTATGACAAGCCCATCCTGTTCTCTCATGAGATGTAAATCACTGCAAAACTACAGCAAAACCGAAGCCAGATTCTCCGTTGCCCCAGGGTACATCCAGATTAATGCCTTTGACAGTGGAGCCATTAGGATAAAAGACAACAAAATATTTGGTTCGTTATGCAGAATACTTTGCAGCAGGCAAGATTTCCTTCACACTTGCATTAGAGGTTACCCCACCGAGACTCTGCTGCTGCGCCGAGGAGGGGCAGAGCCGAGGCGCCCGGCGGGACACATCCCTGCTGCGGGCACACCGGGAGCACGAGGCTGCTCTCCTGCCTACCCCAGACCGAGCTAGGGGTCAGGGAACTATCTGGAAGTGCCTGTTTGACTGTGGAAAACACGCTTCATTTCTATCAGGACACTCATCTTAACCAAGCACAGTCGGTGCCGCCTAAACAAGGAGATTAAATAACAGAGATGCTCATGATAAGAGAAGTACAACAACAAAGAGAAGCACTGGGGAGAGATTTCAGTCCCCAGCCTCTCCTAGGAGAATCAAAAGAGTTAAAATAAACCCAGCAGGGCTACAGCTGAAAATTCATGCAAAAGCTCCTATGGCCTGGTGTGTCCTTGCATGTCACAGCAGCTGGCGTAGCTTGCTAGATAAATACACTTTAGAGGACTGATTAACTTGTCGTCTTGCAGCCCCTTCTCCTGCTGTTCATCAGCGGCTAGAAATAGAGCTTTCCAGCTGATTGTATCGTTCACGTCTGGATCAGGGCAAAGGGTCTGAGTGTTTAAAATGCTGCGGATGCAGCCAGTACGACGCTGCCTTCCCGGCGGAGCAGTTTTCAGGTGCAGCCACGCCAGCCACGGTTTGTTTACTGAAAGCTCAGACCGCAGGACCAGGCACCATGTTTCCAGGGCTACAGAGCACCTCGTCCTGCAGGCTGCTCGCTGCCATCAGCGGGAAGAGCTAAGAAGGGCACAGAGATAAAACAGGAATGTGCCCAAACCAGGCACAGCTTCCAACTGAAGGGCACGTCTGGAGCAGGGGATCAGAGGCCAGAAAGCCAGGACAGGCACGGCGATCCCTAAGGAAGGACAGGCATGGTCATCCCTGCCAGAGGGTGGCCCTGGCTCCTGCCGACGGCTCCAGGCGATGGGGGCAGAGCTTGGCTCTACAAGGGATCCTCGTCTGGGTCTGGCCTCAAGCGGCTCCGTGCGAGAAGCCCCATGCCTTCCCCCCAGCAGCCACTGTCAGGAGGTTTTACCCCCACAGGGTTGGTTTTAAGGCTTGTCCCCGCTCCAGGAGCCCCACGCAGGGGGCAGGGAACAAGGGGGCAGCTGGATGGGGCAAGATCCCGCTCTCAAATCCTCCCCAGCATCTCCCCGGATGGGAGGGACACGCGGGCTGAGCCAGGAAGACACCCCACTCCCTGCCCCACTGCCCTTCGCCTGCCTTTCAAGAAGCAGCCACACTTAAAACAAAGGACACAAATTATCTCAGGCACACTGCCCGTTTGCCAGCCCAGCTGCAGGCGATGCGGTGCTTTGTCAAGGAAAAAGTCAGTCCAGCCACACGGGATCTTCTTCAGAAGTCGTCTCGCAGCCCAAACTCTACCTCTAGATTTAATGAGAAACCCAGCGCCTACCAGCTGTGACTAAAAACACTGATGGAGGACGGATCACAGCGGTCCCCAGCTGCCCCCGCCGCCCCGACGTCGCTGACAGCCCCCAGAGCCCCGTCCAGGCACCAAGAGAAAACTTTCTGGACCCCAGAATTCGAACCGCGTGGCAGGAGCGGCCCAGATCTGCGCAGGGAAGGGCGACGGGCCCGGGGAGGCTCCGCCAGGCAAGGCCGCAGCAGGGGCAGCGCTGCCGGAGCCGTCACCCGGCCACCGCCGGCAGGGACGGGAGCTGACACCCGGGGCCTCCGCTGGGCAGGGGGGAGCGGCCCCGTCCCGTCCCCATCCCCTGCGCCGGCAGCCGCCCTGTCCCGGGGTCAGCCTGGGGCGCTGAGATGGGCCCAAACTCCTGCCAGCGAGAGCGTGGGGAGCGCTGAAGAGCCGAGATGAGAGCGCCGGTGCCAGAGGGATATTCGATTTACAGGGTACAAGCTTGGCTTGGATCTATGGCAGATTGATTGCTAAAAGGCCAATTTTATTTAAATTAACTTCAATTTCAGAAGCAGGAACACACTGAGCCTCTGGGCTATTAAAGCTGCAATTTGGAAAGGGGTGATTTTCTCCTCAGACAGCACCACCAGCAGTGTGCTCCAGCAGGTTATTAACACACCGCAACACCGAGTCAAAGCCGAGCCAACTGTGAGGCACCGCTGCGTTTCCTCTGTCACACAAGCCCAGGTGTCCCAGGGTGTGGCGATGCAGTGACATTGCTCCAGACGTGAGAGGTGACAAAGAGCCAAGGGACGGAGCCCGCTGAGGGCGCCGGGACAGCCAAATGCTTTAGCCAGGCTGCCGGGTTCCCTGCACAGGGACTTTGGCGCGGCATGGCACGGCTCAGCACGGCTCGGCACAGCTCGGCACGGCACAGCTCGGCACAGCTTGGCACAACATGGCTCGGCACGGCATGGCTCGGCACAGCAGGGCTGCAGCTCACCTGCCCCCCACACAGCAGCAGAGGAGGGTGCCCCAACTCCCACCCGGGACAAGCCGTGGCCGGCAAACACTGATGGAGGAGACCCTGAGCCCGCCGGGAGCAGTGGCTGAGGCCACGCTGGCACCGGTGCCTGAAGAGCCCGAGGGGCACTAAATAAAGCGAGGCTCAGCCTGGGGACCTCGAGGCGAGACAGCCCGAGCCTAGTCTCAGCCCCAGGCCCAGCCGCGCTGCCCGACACCCGCAGCCCAACACCCCGGGCAGCCCCTCAGCAGCGAACACCGAAGGTCCACGGGCCTTACCTTCATCCGCAGCGCGTCGTCACACTGCGAGTGGTTGGAGACACAGGTGTAGGTGGAGGGGCACCAGTGACACCTCCATCTGGCCGAGAGGCAGCTGGTGCACCTGAGATGGCAAAGGGGTGGTGAGAAAAGCAGATTTCAGGCTGCTCAGGGGAGCCAGACCTCAGCTGTGCAATTGATCTTCACACATTCTGCTCCATCTTTAATGGTGCCCAGAAAAACCCACGGCAGGTGCTGGGATTTCCTCTGCTCCTCTCCCTGGGAGCCGGCAGGGACGTGGGCAGAGCCCGGCATCCCTGAGCTGCTCCGAGGCAGATCAGGAGCTACTCTCCCCTGCTTAGTGAAAAACGCTCTTTTCCCCCCAAATCCTCTCTCCCCTGTCCGTCTCTGGGGGAGCCAGGCAGGCTGGCGTGTGAGAGAGGCTCCCCCCCACCGCCGGCGGGCAGGACGCAGGGATCCCTGTGTCAGGGTCTGTTCTGCTCCTGGGAGGTGGATGAATTTCTGCGGGTGCGGCAGAGCCCTCCCCTCTGGTACAGGGCTGCTCCCCCCAGGGCTGCAAGGGGCAAGAGAGCAGAGGGACCGCATCTCCCCCTCCCTCAGCGCCCCACAGACCCCCTCAGGGATGGCGGGGAGGCCGGCTCCACTGCCTAAGGGTTAACAGAACACACTTTATATAAAAATATTACTCACGTTTAAAAAAACCCCAACATGTCCAGATGGCTCGAGACGCCGCGAGGACCCTCCTTTGCAAATCCCTGGCAGCGCAGCCCCTACGCCTCTGCCAAATCCTGCCCAGGCCCCCCAGGGTCTGCGCTCCCCCATTAACCCGCGCGGGGGGACCCTCTCCCGGCTGCGCGCACCCCCCGGCCTCAGGCGCTCCATCTGCCGCCGTCGCCCCGCGGCCACCGCCACGTGCCGGCTGCCACCACCCGC